GGAGCGGGATAGTGGCTGGCACAGTGGAAGCAGAGAATGTCGCCAAGTGCTTGAGTGCAGTGAAAGGAATCAATTACTGCTTGAGTATCACTTGACTCTGGTTTGTGCTTCTCCAGTTCCTCCCAGCTGTGTCATCAGACCCTGTGGCACGCAGTTCCAGGGTAAGGGATGTTTAATTCTTGCTGACCTGGAAGGTGTCTTTTGAGCATGCATGAAAACTGGGAGGAGCCTAGGGGTTGTCAAGCCTGGATCTGGACCAGCACAAAGGTCTCTGTTCGTATCAACCCAAAGACAGCTGCAAGTCCACCAGCAGGCAACCTCCTGTGGGCCTTCCTGTTGTTCCCTTGCACACAAGAGGCCAAGGACCAAGGCTTTGGGTCTCCTGTTTGGAACATATTTTCATTGGAAAGGCTGCTTTACAGGGAGGAGAGACAGAAAGAAAGCTCCTCCATATGTTGGTTTACTCCAAAAGCAGCCAGAATGGCGGGAACTAAGCGGATGTGATTCTAGGAGCCAGGAAATTCTTCCAAGTGTCCCACATGGGTGCAGAGTCCAAAGCTTTGGGTTATCCTTTACTTCTTTCCCAGGCCACAAGCAGGGAGCTGGATGGGAAGCGGAGCAGCCAGAACATGAACCGTACCCATGTGGGATACTGTGCTTAGAGGTGGAGGATTACCCAGTTGAGCCATTGTACTGGGCACGAATCTTGTATTCTTGCTCCTGGAAACACATTTCTCTCTAAAAGTCTATTTTTTTCCAACTTGCTAAGCAGTTGATATGTATAGTTACATTAAACAGGAACTGTACATTATATAATTAGGATTTCTCAGCCCTGGGACCCTTGACTCTCTGCACTGCCTAAATCTTCGTTGTAAGGGACTGTCCAAAGCATTGTAAGATGTTCAGCAGCAACCCTGACTTCCACCCCCCATGACACTGCTAACATCCTCAGCTGTGAAGCCAAACATGCGGTCAGGGCATCATCCAATGATTCAATTGAATCGGCAGAGTAGCCCTACGAGCTGGGTCCCACTATTGAAAAAGATGATTCTTTTTTGAGAAACAGAAAGACACAGACATAAATCTGCATCTGCTGGTTCACTCTCCCAAATGCCTACAAACAGCTAGGCCTGGGCCAGGCCAAACCCAGGAGCTAAAAGCTTAATCCAGGGCTCAAGCAGACAGCAGAGACACCCGCCTAACTCCTCCATCACCTACTGGCGCCCAGGGCACACATCCTCAGGGAGCTGGGATCAGAAGCAGAGCTACGACTTGAACCCAGGCACTCCGATATTGCTTGTGAGTGTCCCAAGCAGCAGCTCAAAAGCTGGGTGCACCTGCTATCCTTTCTCTGAAAAAGGGAAATTGAAACAGAAAAAGGACAAGTCTAAGAAACTGGCATTGGCCAAATCTGTCTTTTGTTGCAGGGAGAAGTGAAACCAAAGAGACGTTTCCAACATGTTCTCATTTGATCCCCAAAATACTTAATTTTTAATGTAAATGGTTATGTTCCCATTTTATCTTTTTTGTACTTAAAAAGCGATCTTCCCTGTGTGGGTTCACTCCTCACACGGTAGCACGGCCAGGAGCCTACAACTCCTACCAGATCTCCTACGTGAATGCAGGGGCCCAAGCACTTGGGCCTTCTTCCTCTGCTTTCCCAGGCACATTAACAGGGAGTTTCATGGGATGTGGGAGAGCAAGGAGCTGAACTAGCACCGATATGGATGTCAGTGTCATGGGCAGCAGATTAACCTGATGTGCAACAATGCAGGCTCACGTTCCCATTTTCTTTTTTTTTTATCATATATATATATTTGTTTGTTTGTTTGAAAGGTGGATTTACAGAGAGAGGAGAGACAAAGAGAGAGAGCACTTCCATCTGCTTGTTTGCTCCCCTAATGGCTGCAATAGCCAGAGCTGGGCCAGACTGAAGCCAGGGACCAGAAGTTTCTTCTAAGTCTGTCACGTGGGTCCAAGGGTCCAAGGCTTTGGGCCATCTTGTTTTCCCAGGCCCTAAGCAGGGAGCTGGATGATAAGTGGATCAGTTGGGACTTGAACCAGCACCTGTATGGGATACAGGCACTGCAGGCGGAGGCTTAGCTTACCACACCATGGCAATAGCTCCCCATGTAGTCATATTAAAGACGAGGAAGCTAAAGGTTGCCAAGGTTCACACAGGTACTTAGCTCTATTTACTTATCCTCTGCCTCACTCCAGATGGACCTGCACTTAGGCTTGAGCTTCATTTATCTCAGTCCAAAGTCCAAAATCCTTCCCCCACACTAAGCTGACACTGAGCATCTGAGCAGACCCCTGGTGACCGGGAAGAGCCAGACACCCAGAGCAGGTACCATGTCCACAGCACAGGGGAGAGCAGCGGTTCTTGAGCAGTACCAGCCGGGCCCAGCACTGGATCAGGTTCTAAACATGAACTCCACGTGGATGAACAGCTTGGTTATTCAGCTCCTGCTCCATGCCAGGCCCTATTCTAGGGTCTGGTGGTAAATAAAGGTGTGAACACACCAGGCACAGACTTAGCCATTAAACGGGAAGATGAGTGAAACCCAAAGATGATGGCTATTCTAGGGAAAAAAAAACCCTGAGAACATGGTAACAGCTGCTACTGGTCAGCAAAGCTTCTTGGGGTAGGGCTGGGGAACCTTCCTGGAGGAGGAACTCTAAAGCCAGGACTGCTGAGGCCCATCTGGTAAAGGGAGCTAGGGATAAGTTGGACTGTGTAGGGCTCAGTGAGGACTGGGCCAGGTGATATTCAAGCAAGACTTAAGGCCGTTGACAGCCAAGCGGTCCTGACAAAGTTTACCTGCTCATTGCTTCCAACCTGAACTGTGTTGCAATACACAGCCATTGCCTTTGGAAGCTGCAATTATCTATGGAATGAAATTAAATCCCAGAGTTTGCAAGTGGAGGATTAGCCAATTGAGCCACCATGGTGATCCCAAGAATAAATCTTAAAAAAGAGAGAGAGAGAGAAAAGTAGAATGGAAGTTCAAACTCTGCCTCTATTGCATGACCTTGAGCAAGTTACTAGTGAGCTCGTGCCAGATACCTGAACTGAGCCAGGTGGTTTGACCTGCACAACTCTTGGGTGTCCCCAAACATGAGTGCCACCCCAGAGAAGGAAATGGAGAAGGGAGCTGCAGAAGAAGGCTCACAGCCAGACCCTGAATGTTGAAGCTCAGGTGGCATTTGGTGTGGTGGTGCAGACATCTTATGGGGTCGTCCTGATTCAGTATCAAGGTGCCTGAGTTCAAATCCCAGTGCTGCTCCAGATCCCAGCTTCCTGCAGTAACACTGAGGAAGCAGCAGGGGATGACTCAGGTGTTTGGGTGCTAGCCACCCACACGGTAGACCTGGATTGATTTTCCCATGTCCCTCACTTTTCTGGCCCAGCCCTGGCTATGGCAGGCACTTGGGGAGTGAACCAGCAGAGTTCTGTTGTCTAAATGATTAACTTTTTAGTCAAGGGTGGACTTTCAACCAAGATTTAAGAGCTAAATTGGAATTCTTGAGACTCCATTTGTGCATCTGTAAAGTGGGAACACAACCCCTTTCTCACAAGCTGCTGTGTAGACTAGGAGATTATGTTAGAGAATGTTTGGCACTAGCCACACTCAAGAGATGGAAACATTGTACTTTTATTTTTACTGCTGAGAAAACGGAGAAGGGAAAGCAATCCTGCCCCTCTCCTAAGGGCTAGGAAATGACCAGGCTGGAACCAGAATCCGGGTGGTGTCTTCAAGCCTGATGCACTTTCTCTCCTGGACTCTCAAATGATGACAGAAGAACCTGCATATAGGACAATACCAAACGAAGCCCTATCCACGGGAGCAGGATATGTAGGCTCCTTCAGGCATGGCATGGCCACTGGCCCCACTTGGAGGAAGTGGGGAGCCAGCAGGAGATGTCTTAATCATGATGATTTCCCTGGTAAGCTTATTAGTTGCTGGTGTCCAGAGAAGTTAAGAAGTTGGATCGCACCTGGCAAGGTAGCCTAATGGTTAAAGTCCTCATCTTGAACGTGCTGGGATCCCATTTGGGCACTGGTTCTAATCCCAACAGCCCCGCTTCCCATCCAGCTCCCTGCTTGTGGCCTGGGAAAGCAGTCAAGGACAGCCCAAAGCCTTGGGACCCTGCACCCGTGTGGGAGACCTGGAGGAAGCTCCTGGCTCCTGGCTTCAGATCGCCTGAGCTCCAGCCATTGCAGTCACTTGGGGAGTGAATCATTGAACAGATCTTCCTCTGTCTCTCCTGCTCTCTGTATATTTGACTTTCCTATAAAAATAAACCTTACAGAAAAGTTGGACCAAAGTCATGCAGCCATCAATGGCCCCAGCACCCAGTGGGGACTGCCTCCAGCTCCTTCTGTCCAGATGCTGCCATCTCTTTGGTGCTGGGAGGGAAGGCTGTAGAACAAGTGTCACAGTGTGTGTGTGTGGGGAGGATACAGGTCCTCCCACACATGGCTTCTCTTGGCCATGTGAGTCTAGAAGTGCAAAAATCAGCCAAGTGTAATGCTGAGGGCTCAGAAGCACGTAGACCCTGGGTGAACCACCGAGGCATGTGTCTGGTTTCGCTCTCTTGCAGGATCATCGTAGAATCGGGGGTAGGAGGGAGCCCTCCAAGCAGAGAGCCCAAAGCTGGCTTGGTCAGAGGAGTTACTCGTTCATTATCATATGGGGCCAGCCCCAGCCCTGGGCCCTCAAGGGGCAGAGGTGGACTTGGGAGCAGCCATCCCAACCCTGCTGCCCTATAGAGCCAAGGCCCCGCAAGGCGGGGCTGTTGGGTCAGGGAATGATGCAATCACAGCTCCTGGCTTGGGCCGGGAGGTGAACCTTGACCTCCAGGAAATGGAAAAACAGCCCATTAACAAGGAATACAAAACAAAACCTTGGCTAACTTTTATTTCTCATCAAATTGAACTGGTAGCAAAGTCAAAGGTTACTGCACTTGAACACTGGATTCCCGCCCCTCCCCAGCCTCCCAGGAGACAGTCACCAAGTCCCCTCTGGAACCCCTCCCCATGCAGGACCCCTTTCCCTCTTGCTCACATTCCTTGTGGGGGAGCAGGGCTTCAGGCCTGCAGGGGGTACCAGTCGTGTCCCCGTGCCCGCACGGGCACGAAATGTGGCACGCTGGCCATGTTCCTTTCCTGGTCCACCCCATGGATGAGGGGTAGAAGCAGTGGCATCATGGCCTGTCTCTCTGGGTTTCCCCCCCACAACCAGTCTGAGAGGCACCTGCTGCTAGAAGGGCATGAGGAGCTGTCATTCACAGTAATGTGTTACAGAAAGTGCGTGGGGTCCATCCTCGGCTGCGCTTACCTCTATGCGATCCACTGAAAGCCCTAGGGCATGGGGAGGCCCTGACTTCAGTAGGGGGGTCTCCAGGTGGGCTGGAGAGCCCCAAGGGGGAGCACTGAATATGACTGGGAGTCTCAGACCCAAGACTCAACTCGGACCCCCTCTCAGACCCAATTCTGCAACTCTGGCGGGGGGGAGGGGGTAACAGTCAAAGGGGTCTTGAAAATATGGTCATGGTCCCCTGGCCAGGAAGAGGGCCCAAAGAAGAACATTGGTGCCTCTGGTGTCTCCTCCCAGGCCACAGTGCCAGCCAAGTCACCCAGAAAGGCCAGCTTCTTGGCAAAGTCCATGGCAAAGCCATTGGCGCCAGGAGCAGGGGGCCAGCGGCTACGGCTCAGCAGAGGAAACAACTCTCCCTCCCACTATTCTCAGGCACTGAGCATGGCACCAGGGCTGAGGCCCTGCAGGCAGCAGAGGACCAAAACCATCAAGTTCTAATCTAATTCTCTCCCCCTCAGAAGGCAACGTGCTGAGCAGAGGCTCAAACTCGTGAGATGACCTGTTGAGCAGGCCTCACTCTCGCTGCCAGGTGAAGGAGTGGAGGTGCAGGGGTGGAGGAAGTCCAGGGCACTGTGCTAGGACCAGGCAGCAGGGCGGTGAGGGCCTCTCCACCGCCCTACAGAACACGGTTTTGGGATGTGGACACAGACCAGCCGTGACCAGGTTTTCACATTGATGGGTGAAGAACAGGGAGGAGGTAATGAGATCTGGGGATGAAGGAGAGTGGGAAGGCAAGGCTGTCTGGAGTGTTAGTCCCTGGAGGCATCCAACCCTCTCCTGCGGGGCCAGCCAGGGGGCTCCCAGGTCACAAAGTCACAGCACTGGGGGAGTCCAGGACACAGCCTGCTGGCCCGGAACTCTGAGTGGCACCTATTGTCCTTCCATTGGAAGCAGGGAAAAGAGGACGGGGAACAGCCCTGTAGGGTCCCTCGGTCCCTCCCAAGCTGACAGAGTCAGTGTAGTGATGCTGTCCCCACCTGTGAGGGCAAGGATGGTGTGGCTCGGGAGGTCCTCCCCCCGCACCAGCATCACGTATAAGCCAATCCCAGGAAAGGAAAAAGTCGGGACACAAAGGGACTCGGGGCTCTCTCCGAACAGAGGAGTCCTGGCAGGGAGGACAGTCCCAGAGTCGGCTGCTCGACATGCAGGGTCCCACGTAGGAGGGAATCAGGTCATGTAGCGGGTGATGGCACGGAGGGCGTAGAGCAGGGCAGCTTGCATGCGGGCCTCCAGCAGCAGCAAGTTCACGTGGACCTGGAGCATGGCAGGGCTGCTGGTTGGCATGGTGGTTGCAGCAGCTCCCCAGACCTCCCAGACCACCCACCTCCCATTTCTCCTTCCTGCAGAGATGCGTCCACTCTCGCTTGCCCAGCTGCAATGACAGCAGGCCACTTTCCAGGGCATTTGCCCCAGGATGATTCATTTCCTTGTCCCCGAGCCCAGGGCTGAGAGTAGCTGCTCAGGGCTGGCTGACATGCACTGTCTCTGGTTATTCTCCTAGTAACCTTGAGGGGCAAGCAGGATAAAGACCACACTCGGGGAGGCAGGGTGCCTGCCGCCGAGTCCAGCCAGAGGGCTCCCAGGCCACAAAATCACAGCACTGGGACCCAACTCCACCAGGACGTTCTGCGGGAGGGGTACCGAGTCAAGCAGCTATCCGTGTTCCTGTTTTACAGGTGAGCAGATGCAGTCTGAAACCCCACTGTGAACTAGAACTTGACCTCAGGACAGTAGGTTCAAGTGCCCCACCCGGCGACCAACTCAGCCAGAGTGCCCCTGGAGGCCCTGCTCAGGCAGTACCTTCTCTGAATGGCGGAAGTGTCTCCAGAAGAGGCTGTACATTCTGCGGGTGGTCTTCTCCGGGTAGCAGGCCACCGTCTTGATGTAAACCTTGAGATTCCGCTCCAGGAGTTCGTTCACCTCCCCATAATCGTAGTCGTCATACCTGCATGGGAAGGTCCCGCGTTCCTCACACTCTGTTTCTTGCCCCCACCCCACAGGGGAAGGAAACAGAGTGGCAGGAAGAGTCGGAAAGGAGGAAAGAAGCAGAAGTTCCTTCCAATGCTCACACACAACGGCCTAAAGTCAGCAGCTCCTACAGATGAGGGAACTTGGACTAGGGAAGACATGTGCCCTGAGTGGGTCAGCTTGGCCTGCTTCAAGGTCACTGTCCCTGCTCCATGATCAAGGCTGTGGAAGAGGGGGGAGGGGGAGGATGTGGGTGCATATTTTCTGGGAGAAGCGAAAGGATAAAGCAACAAAGAGCTGGTACCCATTTTGTAGATGGGCAAGCTGAGGCCAAGGAAGACAATTAACTCAAAGTCAACAAGGAAGACAAGTCCAGAAGCCACGATGTCACTCTCCAGGTCAGGGAGCTGGGTGAACACCATCACAGATCAGTTGGGCTGGGGAAGACTGGTTAAAGACGGGGACAGACTGAGAGGCCAGAGGGCTGAGAGCCAAGACCATGCTGGAGAGTCAGGAACCCTAGGCCTGAACACCAGACAGGGGAGCCGGGATTCCATATGGGCACCAGTTCTGATCCTGGTGGCCCTGCTTCCCATCTAGCTCCCTGCTTGTGGCCTGGGAAAGCACTTGAGGAGGGCCTGAAGCTTTGGGACCCTGCACCTGTGTGGGAGACCCAAAGGAGGCTCTGGCTCTTAGCTTTGGATCAGCCCACGTCCAGCCATTGCAGCCACTTGGGGAGCGAACCAGCAGACAGGAGATCTATCTGTCTCTCCTCCTTTCTACATACCTGACTTTCCAATAAAAATAAATAAGTCTTTACAAAAAAAAAAAAAAAAGCAAAGGTTGGACAGAGACTGACTTGTGCCACACTCCTACCCACTCATCCTTGGCTGCCCTGGCCCAGAAGCCTGCTAGCAACCAGTGAGAGAACAGCCGGGGGATTACAGTGCAAATCAAATCGGTGGAATGTGGTTGGTGGCTAGGGATATGCAGAAGCAGAAATTTTCCATGAGGAACATGTATGTTGCAGAAGGGATATGTTTCTGAAGCTTGGAATAAATTGTTGAATACGAAAAGCAAAAAAAAAAAAAAAAAAAATCCTGCGCTCACTGCCACATGTTCCCATTCAAAGACGTGAGTGAGCTGGGCCCAGTGTGGTGGCCTAACAACTAAAGTCCTTGCCTTGAGTGCACCGGGATCCCGTATGGACGCTGGTTCTAATCCCAGCAGCTCCGTTTCCCATCCAGCTCCCTGCTTGTGGCGTAGGAAAGCAGTCAAGGATGGCCCAAAGCCTCAGGACCCTGCACTCACGTGGGAGATCCAGAAGAAGCTCCTGACTCCTGACTTCAGATCAGCTCAGTTCCAGTTCTTGTGGCCACTTGGGGAGTGAACCATCGGACAGAATATCTTCCTCTCTGTCTCTCCTCCTCTCTGTATATCTGACTTTGTAATTAAAAATAAATCTTAAAAAAAAAAAAAAAGAAGTGAGTGAGCTAAGTGCAACAAACAGGCAAGACAAGGGCAGTTGGCCCTGTCTGTGAGAAGAGACCCGGGCTCTGGTTCCTGGCTGCAGTAGAGGAGGCAGGAAGGAGACGTGTGGCAGGCCCGGCACAGCGGGAGTGCAACACCTTGTACCTTCTTGCTTTTGTGAGCTGTATTTTTAACATTTCTAGAAATCAGCTGTTTCTCTTTATAAACATTAAATCAGTTGGTTTTTTGTTTTGCAAATGAAATAACTATTATAACTCCAGCTACATGAAAATAACTACATAAGGAAGTAATAAAATTAAATATTGTAGGATATGGTTATGGTTGTATTGGAACAGGATTTAGCAAACAAATTTTTTTGGAAAAGACTCTATTTATTTGAAAGGCATAGTTAGAGGGAGGAGAGGCCATGGTGGGTAAAGGGGAGAGGAAGCAAGAGGGAGAGAGAGAGAGGGAGAAAGGAGAGAGGGAGGGAGAAAGGAGAGAGGAAGAGCAGGAAAGAGAGAGAGGGGGAGAGGTGGGGAAGAAAAAGGGAGAAAGACAGAGAGGCTTTTCATCACTGGTTCATTCCCAAAATGCCACTGCCATGTCCAGGCCAAGCTCAAGTCAGGAGTCTAGAATTCTAGCCAGGTCTCCAACATGGATCGCAGGAGACCAACACTTGGGCCATTTTCTGCTGCGTTCCCAGGGATATCATCAGAGAGCTGGATTGGAAGTGCAACAGCTGGGACCACATCCTCCCCCCACCCCTCACTGACCCTTGTGACTGAAGCCATTTGATCCTATCCCCAGAGGTAACTGTGCCTTTACAACGATGTGGTTATACATATGTATATGTGTGTATGACACACGTTGAGCCCTGGACAAGTGCTCCTCACCCACCAGCCAGGTGCCTACCTGATGCCAAAGACGCAGTGGATGTAGTTCCAGATGGCTCTGCGGAGCACCGAGGTGTCCACACCGCTGTGCATGGCGATGGTGTTGTAGGTGAGGCTACAGGCTACCTGGAACTTCTCGTCCAACAGCTGCCCACCCTCAGGGTAGAGGCGCTGGATCAGCGAGTAGCCATGATCTTCCCAGGTGTAATCCTGGGGAGCATGGGGAGAGGTCACTGGGAGGGTCTTTAGAGCCCACAGCAGTCAGAGGGAGCAGCCTCCAGCCCTCCCCTCTTCCACAGGTCTGACCCTGCCTGCCTTAGGCCTGAGAAGTCAAATTCCTTGCAAATTGGTTATTACCTTTGTACAACTGTGACACCCTCCCACTGTCCCCCTGGAGATTAGGGTACAATTAGGTTCTCTTTGGAATCCACAGGCTCCCCTTGACCCCGTGGGATGCCAGGAGAGAGAAGGGAATCAACTCTGTAATCACTCAGATCATCCCGCCCAGCCTGGCTCGCTGCTAAGACCAGAGCCAGAGCTCTACCTGGGCGCGGAAGGTGGGGGGTGCCTGTGCCCCTCGCCGGGTGAAGTCCTCGTAGCCGAAAGCAGGGTCTTCCACAAAGCACAGTATGTCTGGGTGTGGAGCAGGCTCCAGGATGTCAGCTGAGGCCCGGGAAGGAAAGAGGTTACAGAAGCCTAGGCCCAAAGCAAAGGGAAGGGCAGAGACCAGGGCTGGAGGGGAAGGGGGCCATGGGCCCAGGAGCCTAGGGTTAAAGCTTGGGGGAGGGCAGAGGCCAGGGGCAAGCCCCTTGCTACAGTGGGTGGCTGTAGCACTTGGACTGAGGCCAGGCCTGGACAGGAGGGGAAGGGGCCATGGGCCCAGGAGCTTAGGTGCTGGGTAACACCCAGAAAATGGTAGCCATGTGCCAGGCTATGCTGTCCCATGGACCCTGCACACCCCGAGTGAAGCCACCAGGTAGGAAGTGGCTGGTCAAGTCAACCATGTGGGCTAACAGAGTGGGATCAAAGCCAAGTCTGAGCTCTGGGCTTGGAACCTTCTGGAAGGGAGTGGGGGAGGTGGCAGCCCCTGTAGTACAGAAGGTGCAGCAGTGACGGCATAGGGAGGGGGGAGGCCCTGAGCTCTGATACCTGAAGGCGTCACCAGCAGGCTCTCGGACTTCTCCAGTTCGAAACGGCTCTCCATCTCCTCCGGGGACGTGCCCTCATCCTGCAGCAGGCTGTCCTGCAGCTGCCGCATGCGCTCCATCAGCGTCTCCACGTCTCGGATGGCCTCTAAGCCCTGGAGCAGACACCTGCTGTTGACCATCCGCTCCTCCTCCCTCAGCCTCTGGAAAATTCCCCACATCCTTTCCACATGCCAGACTTCCTGACTCATCACAAAGACCATCTTCTCTCTGTGCTGGCCACCGGTGGCTTGGCCCATGTGGTCTGTGCTTTCTTCCCAGAGGGAAGTTTCCAGAGACACAGAACAGGAACACAGCTTCCCCATCTTGCCGTGTCAGCTCCACATGGAGGAAAACGTTATTAATTTTTAAATTATTATTTATTTATTTTTAAGGGTCTAGAGGAAAACAGAGGGAAAGAGAGAGGTTTTCCATCTTTGGATCACTCTCCAAATGGCTGCAATGGCCAGTGTTGAACCAGGTCAAACCCAGGAGCCAGGGACATCAACAATTTAAGGCATCTTCCACTTTTCCAGGCACATTAGCAGAGAGCTGTATTGGAAGTGGAGCAGCTGGGACAGTCCATATGGGATCCTGGCATCACAGGGAATGGTTTTATCCACTATGCCACAATGCCAGTTCCCCAATTTTAAACAACTTGTGTTTTTATATCGAAATAAACATGGCCACCTGACAGAGTAAGAGGCAAGCTTTATCCTTTTGAAGCACTAACAGCCACCAGACTTGGAGCCTGTGGGGCTATGGGCTGAAAGACCAGTCAGGGGGTACTTGTCTGAGCCTTCACAAGCACTCTGATATGAGTAGAAATTCTTCATTTCCATTTCCCAGTTGAGCTTCAAAGTGAAATAATGGAACTGATATTATGGTGTAGGTAAAACCACTGCCCACATTGCTAGCATCACTTATTGGGCACCATTATGATCCTGTCCATTCCGCTTCTAATCCAGCTCCCTCCTGCTGTGCCTAGGAGAGCAACAGAGGTTGGTCCAAGTCTCTGGGCCCCTGCCACCCATGCAGGAGGCCTAGCTGAGGCTGGACCTGGCCCCACCCCGGCTGCTGCCGTCATCCGGGGAGCAACCCAGCAGATGACCTCTCTGTCTTTCCCTTACTCTGAGATTCTAACTAAATAAATAGACCTTTAAAAAAAAAGTGAGATTACTTCCAAGGTCCTCTCTGTGGGAGAAGCTAGGCAAGCAGGGGTTCCTTCCAAGGGTCAGAGGCCAGCCCAGCCCAGACCCAAGCCCCCTGACTTACCCCAGAGCTGTTCAAAGCATCCCGGCCCGGGGGACTGCTTTGCTCGCTGGGTGGCGAAGGGACCTGAGGACCAGGGCCATTCTCTGGGTCTCCCTCAGGGAGGATGCCACAGCCAAAGACGAAGGAGGCCAGAGAGTGGCAGTGGGTAAGCAACACCAGGGCCTGGATGAGTTCGGCCAGAGACCAGCTGTGTTCACCCGTCTTCAGCAAGGCCTGGAGGGTAGGGGAGGAAAGGGCAGGCTTACTCAGTGCCTGATCCCAGGCGCCCTGCACACTTGTGGGGCCCCTGCCTCTCTGCCCCCCGCACCTGGATGTGTTCCTTGGTGATGAGCCATGGCCGATGTGCCAGCAGCTTGTTGATCTCGCTGAGTTTACGCAGCTTCTCTGGCGCCCGATGGAGGCCCAGCAGCCACTCGGGGTCACCACCAGTCTGCAGGAACTCGGCCATGTGGGCGCCCACGAGGTATGAACACTGGTGGCGGGCAGCAGCCTGCAGGAACAAACAGAGCCTGAGTCGCCCTCCTCCTCTGGGCCTCCTGGGGTAGGCCCTCTCTCCAGGAGGAAGCTAGCAGAGGAGCCACCACTGCCTAGTGTGGGCAATCTAGATCCTAACCCCACATCTGCCACCAGCTCGGAGGTCACCTGGCTTCCTGGTACCCCTGTTTCTCAGTCTATCAAGTCAGCCTTTAGGTGCTTCTCTTCTAAGTTATTCTAAAACACTGTAGCTGGTCAGGGCCTTCCTCTGTGCTCAGCTTCTTTCCCCCTGGTCCGGAAGAGCAGCAGAGGATGGGCTAAGAACAGGGCCCACACTGTGACCAGCCCTCTTAGCACCAGCCCTGGGAGGCTCACCATGATGGCAATGTAGTGGCGCCAGGAGCTGGCCAGGGGCCCATCCGTGTGCAACAGCAGGTAGTGCAGGCGCCAGAAGCTGCTGAGGTAGTCTGGATGCAGGCTCATCACCACGGCCAGGTTGTCCACCCGGCCTGAAGATGTCAGTGCCTCCAGCCCCAGGTGTTGGTCCAGGCTCTCAGCCCCCTCCTGAAGTATCTACGATGCAAAGGGGAGAGGGGCATGGGTTCCCATCCAAGAGACCAACACATTCTGCAAGAAACTCAAAGCCACCACCATGCCTGTAAGTGGAAATGCAGGTGAGTGGGCACATCTTAAAAAAACAAATACTTATTAGGCAGTTGGTACAATCATTACAACCATGACGTTGGAGTTTCATTTTCTCCATTTTGCTATACGAGAATTGAAACAGAGGTTACGAATACAGTTTCTCTGGCATTGTGGTGCAGCAGGCCAAACCATGGCCTACAATGTCTTTTCAGAACACACTGGTTCAAGGCTAGCTGGGCTTCTGATCCAGGTCCCTGTTAATGTGCTAAGATGCCAGAGGATATTCTGAACGATTGGATTCCTGCTGCAAAAATGGGAGACCCAGATGGAGTTCCAGGCTCCTGGCCTAGAATGAGCCAGCCCTGGCCTCTGCAGCCACCGAGAGGCAACCAAGCGATGAAAGATCTGGTTTTGTGTTTGTTTCTTGTTGTTGTTTTGTTATCTCTGTTGCTCTGCCTTTCAAATAAGTAAAATACAGTTTCTCCTGCCTTCAAGGAGCTTCTGTTTTCTCACTGCAAATGCACACAGCCGTGGCTCTCAGAGAGAGGGCTGCTGAACAAAACAGCAAATGCCAGGTCTGAAGTTAAACTTTCCCTGTATGATCTTATTTAATCTTTTTTAGGAAAAGGGACAATGTTCTTTAAGATTTAAAAATATATATAGATTCAAAAGGTAGAGTTAGAGAGAAAGAGATATTGTCCATCTGTCAGTTCACTCCCCAAATGGACACAACAGCCAGGGCTGTGCCAAACACCAGAAGCCAAGCACCAGAAGCTTCTTCAGGGTCTCCCATGTGGGAGGGGTCCAAGCACTTAGATATCTGTGGCTGCTTTCCCAAGGGCATTAGCAGGGAGCTGGGTCAAAAGTGGAACAGCTGGGACTTGAACCAGTGTTCACATGGGATGCAGGTGGTGCAGGTGGCCACCACAACATTGTTGGCTGGATAAATGTTTTCCATTCTTGTAAAATTTTTCTTTATTTGGGAGGAAAAGGGGCTGAGTGAGAGATGAACAGAGAGAGCCCTCATCTATGGCTCACTCCCAATAAGCCTGCAACGGCAGGGGCTGGGCCAGGTCAAGGCCAGAAGAAAGGAATGTAGCCTATATCTCTCATGTCGGTGCCAAGAACCTGATGACTTTTGTGGTAGCCTAGCAGCTAAAATCCTTTCCTTGAATGTGTCGGGATCCCATATGGGTGCCGTTTCTAGTCCCGGCAGCCCCACCATCCAGCTCCCTGATTGTGGCCTGGGAAAGCAGTCGAGGATGACCCAAAGCCTTGGGACCCTGCACCTGCGTGGGAGACCTGGATGAGGCTCCAAGCTCCTGGCTTTGAATCAGCATAGCATCGGCCATTGAGGTCACTTGGGGAGTGAATCAACACACAGAAGATCTTCCTACTCTCCTCCTCTCTGTATATCTGACTTTCCAATAAAAAATAAAATAAATCTTAAAAAAAAAAAGCACCTGATGATTTGAGCTACCATCATTGCTTTTCAGGGTCTGCATGAGCAAGAGGCTGGAGTCAGGAGCTGCAGAACCCAGGCATCCACTGTGGGATGCAGACAGCAGAACCCTCTCTCACTGCATCCCTTCAGCAAGGTAAATGCCACTGTATCCCCCTCACAGGGAGGAAGGCAGACAGGCTGCATTCCTTTTTGAAGGTCCTAGATCCTGTCATCACAGACCCAGGACTCAAATCCAGGTAAACAGCAAAGCCTACCTCTTTCCTTTCTTGGACACATAGTGGTTGGTTACCAACAAGAAAAATGAAGTACCAAAACAATACCAGAGCTTAAAACTCTGGGCTGGGGACCAATGTTGCAGCACAGTACATTAGCCATTGCCTGTGATACTGGCATCCCAGATTGGAGCACTGCTTTGAGGAGGGGCTGTCCCATTTCCAATCCAGCTCCCCGCTAATGTACCTGGGAAAGCAGAAGATGACCCAGATGCTTGGGTCCCTTCACCCACACAAGAGACCCAGATGGAATTCCTGGCTCCTGGCTTTGGCCTGGCCCAGCCCCAGGCATTTTGATGGACTGAATCAGCAGATGGAGGAGCTCTTGCCTGCACCCTTACCTGCAGCAACCCCTCCTTTTTTTTTTTTTTTTAACCCATTCTCTGAACTTTGCTATATGAGTATTCTTTTTCATTTTTTTTTAAGATTTATTTATTTTTATTGCAAAGTCAGCTATACAGAGAGGAGGAGAGACAGGGAGGAAGATCTTCCATCCGCTGATTCACTCCCCAAGTGACCAGAATGGTCGGAGCTGAGCCGATCCAATGCCAGGAACTCGGAGCTTCATCCAGGTCTCCCGTGCAGGAGCAGGTTCCCAAGGCTTTCCCACAGGCCATGAGCAGGGTGCTGGATGGGAGGCAGGGCTGCCGGGATTAGAACCGGCAGCCATATAGGATCCTGGCGTGTGCAATGTAAGGACTTTAGCCTACTGCACCAGGCCCACCCCTCCTCTTTTCTAATAAATAAAACTTCAAAAATAAAACCAAAATTTTCCAGGCTGCAGACATAAATAATCAGCAGGGGCTGCAGACTTCGCATTCACAGAGGGGGCAGTGGACACAAGACGATCATTCACAGCTCCACCACCTGGTCTCCAGCTAGGAAAGCTAAGATGACAGGACGCACAAGACACAGTGGTCCTCGTTCCATGAAGCGGAAAAAACCCCCGAGGTTCTGTGTGTGTTCTGAAGGTGCTGCCACACCCGTATGTACGCCCACACGAGCTCCTCCCAGCAGAGAAGCCCGTGTCTTGCTCACTGCTCGCCCAGCCCTAGAACAGTGCCTAGCACATGGGGTCATCCTTCCCCTGCTGGGCACGGCCCGAGGAAACTGACTCAGGGAGGACAGGAGGCTCTGCTGACGCGCTGAGGGCTAGCAAGAGAAAGGGCAAAAAAGCAAGCTGTGAGCCACAACCTGAGCGCTCTGCTCTCGGGAAACCGGGGGAAGGCTAGTAGTGATGATCTCCTTGCCAGGTGAATTTTAAGGGATCAGGGCTTTCTGAAACACTCAATAGGTTTTTATGAGTATTACTTTCAAAACAAACAAAAAAATATTATAGCATGTATAGTCAAGGGTGAAAAAGATACAAACAGGTCTATTTTTTAATTGTTTGCTTTTTCCAAGCAAAGATTTACCTATTTGAAAATCGAGTTATAGAGAGAGATGGAGAGACAAAAGGGAGAAATCTTCCATCTGCTGATTGACTCTGAGAGGCTTTAACAGCCAGGACTGAGCCAGGACAAGACCAGGTGCCAGGAGCTTCATCTGGGTCTCCCATGTGGGTGGCGAGGAACCAAGCGCTTGGGCCATCCTCTTCGCTTTTCCCAGGCCTTTAGTGGGAACTGGTTAGAAAACGGAGTAACGAGGGCCAGAACCAGCACCCAAATGGGATGTTGGTATTACAGGCAGCAGCTTTACCTGCTACATCACTATGTCAGTCCTGGTAGTGTACTTTCTTTTATATATATATATATATGAAACACTCAATAGGTTATAATATATATTATATAATATACTATATGCTATATAGTATATTATATATTATATATGCTATATAGTATATTATATATTATAAATATGAATTATATACATAATATATATATTATTTTTAAGAAAATGTTTCTTGGGGTCCAGCGCCATGGCCCTGTGGCTAAATCCTCATCTTGCACATGCCACATATGGATGGGTACCAGTTTTTGTCCTGATGCTCCACTTGCCTTCTAGCTCCCTGCTTATGGCCTGGGAAGGCAGTCGAGGATGGCCCAAAACCTTGGGACCCTTCACCCATGTGGGAGACCCAGAAGATGCTACTGGCTCCTGGCTTTAGATCAGCTCAGTTCTACTTGGGGTGTGAACCAGCAGATGGAAGGTCTCAAGGTCTCTCTCTCTGTAAATCTGACTTTCCAATAAAAATAAATAAATAAATGTTTCTTTTCTTTTTAAAATTTATTGCTTTAATTTTCTTTTTTTGTTGTTGTTGTTTGTTGCTGTTGTTTGTTTATCTTTACTAGAGAGAGAGGCAGATTTTACAGGGAGAAGGAAAGAAAGAAAAAAGATCTTTCATTAGCCGGTTCACTCTCCACATGGCTGCAATGGCCTTAGCTGAAGCCAGGAGCTTCTCCAGGTCTCCGATGTGGGTACATGGCCCAAAGGCTCTGGGCCATCCCTTGCTGCTTTCCCAGGCCACAAGCAGGGAGCTGGAAGGCAAGTGGAACAGCCAGGGCACAAACTAGCACCCGTATGAGATGCTGGCACTCACTTGCAAGGCAAGAATTAGCAGTTGAATGATTGTGCTGACCCCTATTTTTAAATTTTCAATTATTTGAAAGGCAGAGTGACAGAGATTTTCCATCTGTGGGTTTATGCCCCAAAACACGTGCAACAAGCAGGACAGGGCCAGGCTGAAGCCATGAAGACAGAACTCCTTTCAGTTCTCTCATGTGCTCACAGGGACCCAAGCACTTGAGCCACCACTGCCAGCAAGAAGCTGGATTGCAAGCACAAGAGAAAGGACTTGACCTAGCTCTTTGATGCTGGATGTGGGTATCCCAAGTGGTGACTTAACTTGCTGAGCCACAACACCCACCAGAGTAGTCAGTCCTAACTTATTAAGGGAAAACAGGTACTCCTGTGGGGATGAGGAGTGTGGCTGGGTCGTTATCCCTTCATCTGGAGTCTGTTCCCTCCCAGTCAATTGGAGTCACTAATGCCTACTTCCCAAAGCTGCTTTGTGAGTTCAGTGGAACAGACACTGGAAGTGATCGTTCCAAAGCTCTAACATAAGGGGCATGAAATAACCTGGCCCACCAACATCCAGGGTCCTCTCTTTGCAAGGATCCCAAACCCTTCCAAGCTTACCTCCTCCATTGGGATGAAGGCACTGGGCCCGCGAGGACCTCGCCAGGCTCGGCTCTCCCTCTGCTCCTGGGAGGAAAGACAGGGGGTTAATTGGTGGTAGATGGGAGGATAAGGAGGGCTGTAATCTCTCCAGGCTCCTCCTCCTATCCAAGGGGCGACCATGAGCACCCCAAACCACCTTGCTGATGCGCCCTGTGTGGAGCAGCCAGAAGAGAGACCTGTCTGGCAGGTTGCAGGAAGGTGAGCAAGAAAGAGGGTTCACCCCAGGCTGGATGCTTCTAGAATTGGGCAGGGACCCAAGAACCCCATAAGACTGGGTCAGAGGAGCCTGGAGCTGGGAAATACACACGAAGCCACATTCTAGAAGCCCCAGAAAGGCCAGCTAGAACACCCCATTGCCGGTCTACTGAGCCCAGTAGCCAACTACCCGAGGTGCCTAGGAAACAGCTTCCATCTCTGACAAATGATCACATCTTTTGACTCCTGCCTCTGGCTCCCTCCCAGGCCACCCTTGCCACCTCCTGCCCAGGGCATCACCTCTGACTTCACCAACTGTCCTCCTGCTCTCTCCTACCCATCTCTAGTGCAGCACTGCGAGTAGCTTTCTGAAGTGTGAGCCTGATCGGCTGCCTGAAAATCCTGCCTTCCAGTAAATCAGAGACCCAGGTCTACTGCCCTCCCCCATCCACTCCTTCCGCAGAGCTAAGTTGTACCGTCGTCCAGACAGCCTTTTCTAACCCTCCCTCCAAGGCCCAAAACCTCAGGGTTTCTGCTTCTAAAGAGCCTGTCCTCTAATCGCTGTACATCTCCCCACTTCCCAATCACTAGGGAGCAGGGCCAGGTCACTGATGCTAGTCTGTAAATACAAACCGGACAGGCAAGCAGAAAAGCAAAGCAGGGCAGCAATACATGTGTACAGGTTCTTACTGAATTTGGAGCTGGCAGTGGGGAGAGGGGATCAGCACAGGCTCTGGAAACAATTTACCCAAACCAGAGTCACACTCTCACCAGACAGGGACACTGGTGTCCACCCCTCCCCTCACATCCAATTCTCTCTGTTCAGCATTAAGATCCAGTCTTAGCACTGGGCATTTTGCCAAGTGGTTCAGCTGTGACATCCCATATTGCATTGCTCAGGGTTCAGTCCCAAGCTCTGCTACTGCAGGGAGCGGGTGATAACCTGAGTCCTTGGGTCCTTGCTGCCTACACGGGAGGCTGGGAATGAATCCCTGGCTCCTGGCTTTGGCCTGGTCCAGCCCTGGCTGTCATGGGCACTTAGGGAGTGAAGCAGCAAATGACACTCTTTTCCCTGCTGTGTTTCTCTCTGCCCTTTTATCTATGAACCAAATTCAATAAAGACATTTAAGATTTTTTTTTTTAATTGAGGTCTAGTTTTTGAAAGCAGCCTGAGAGGCAATGCTCTTGGGGCACTGGAAGACACTAAGGCAAAGAACTACTGGGCCCTGTAAGTCCTGCCTGAGGCACCAAGCATGCCCCTAACTTGTAGGGTGGTTCTGGGAAAGTGACTTCGACTCCTGGAGCCTGATCTGGGACACAACAGGTGACTGAACTGTCTGCTCAGGCCCCTGGCAGCCCATGCTCCCGGGAGCACCCAGGCCAGCCCAGCGCACTCCCCACAGGCTCCCTCTCCACCCCTCCCCCTCCCTCACCCAGGAGAAAAAGCCCAACAGCTCTGTCTGGGAGATAAGGATTGCTGACTCCACAAACTGGGCCTCCCCCTCCAGAGAGCTGAGGACAGATAGAAAACCACTGCAGGGCTGGGCAGGGTAGGGCTGCGGGGAGGTGCTGGGAAGGGACAGGGAACAGCCTTGGGAATCCCAAGTCGCCCCAATAGCTGACCCGGGCACTGCCAAAGGAAGGCACTGACACCGGAGGGACTTTGAGCGGTGGGTGTGGCCCCACCCCTGATTCCCAGTAGCAATAACACACTAAGAAGCACATAGGGGGCAGCAAAGGATGGGGGGGGGGGGGGCTCTTGACACAGCATCCTGGCCTGAGACAGCTCCACCACCTGCTGTACGAATTTCAGTTTCCTCACTGAATACTGCGGATCGTAGTCTCAACTTTGACTAGAGTCATGAAGGACTGACTGATGAGAAGCACCTGCACGCCTACCCTGGCAACTCGGCCTGGGACAGCACCTCCCAGAGGCCAGCTCCCATGAACTTCATTCCTCCTTCAGATAAAGGCTTCTTGGCCCAAGCAGGACACTTAGAGAAGCCCAGATCAGGCTCCAGGGGTCCACCTTTCCTTCCTTCCTTCCTTCCTTCCTTCCTTCCTTCCTTCCTTCCTTCCTTCCTTCCTTCCTTCCTTCCTTCTCTCCCTCCCTCCCTCCCTCCCTCTCTCCCTCCTCCCTCTCTTTCTCTCTCTCTCTTTCTTTCTTTCTTTTTAATCCCAAGTCTACTTTATTTGGTCTAGGGTGGGGCCCAAGCTCACATGCATGCTGTGTGAGGAGTGCTGTGTACAGCATGCATTGATCAAGTTCAGAGGTGTTAGGTGCTGTGCTAAGTGCTTTCCAGGTAGGACTGATACCCGTTTGTTCATCTGACAAGTATTTGTGATGACTATACTATAGGTGGTGAGAACGCAGCAGTGACAAGACGAAGCCTCAGCCTCCATATGGGTTGGGATCTGATGGCAAAGTCAGAAGCTGACAAGGACTTCACAGATCTTATCAGGTGAATGCAACAGACCACAGAGAGTATGAGTCGGAGAGCAGGCACATACTTGTGTAAATAGACAGTAAAAGTCACAAAGGAGCTGCAATCTACATGGGGTTCCAGGGACCAGCGCTCCAGCCAGAGGGAACAGATAGCGTAAAAGCCTCAAAGCAAGGTCAAGCCTGTCTGAACTCACAGCTCCAATATTTCACTGACCCTGGCCCCAGGGCAAGTCAGGGAAAGTGGGCAAGGCATGGACCCATTGCCAAGAAGCAACAGTCCCCAAATTGGCCCAGCCCCTCCCTGCTCCATTGCTTGGGCTAGACAGTCAACAAAAACAATGGCAGGTACCAATGCTGGTTCCCACCGGCTAGGCCCTGACTTCCTAAGCACTAACCCCTTACTGGGGCCATTTGATGGAAGAGGAACAAGGCTCTAAAAGGCCAAGCTACTTCCGGTCCGGAGCTAGGCTAGCTGAGTTTGCAGGTGCAGAAGCTACTCCCCATTGGTAGGCTGCTCACTGGCTCCATAGCCTGAGGTTTTGGCATGTGGCATTCAGCAGGGCCAAGAGCTCCTCCCTGCTGCAATCCCAGCGATCTGGTGTTCCATCATGGCTCCCCACATACGGCTCCTCACCTGCAGGGCACACACACTGGGTCTAGCTGGAGCAAGTCACCCGCTCAAGGTAACACACTAGCGTGAAGCAGAAGCAGGGCGGAGGCTGGCTGTTCCTGCTGCCAACTGTGGTGGTCCCATGGGGTAGGAGGATGACTCAAGGTCTCAGGGCTCTGTGCCTAGCTCTAATGCTGTCACTCAGGTGTTCGCATGCAGGTTCCAGCTAACCTTCCTCGGATGGCAATAGAGCCTTCTCTATGTTCCAAAGGACTAACACACTTGGTGACAAGTGACCAACTACCGACTTTAGCCCAGGCTTCTGGCTGCTGAGGTCCTCTGCACTCCACCAGCCCAGCTTCTGGGGATGGTCCCAGGTCTAGGAACCCCAACTCCAGGTGGCTTGCAGAGATGCTGCCCACCACCTGAACTGACTTCCGGCAAAAGCTTCCACCTTTATTCTTGGGGTCTTATCCAGACACAGAGTGGCAGGAGACACCTGCTGAGTCTCACTGTGGGCTGGGAAGGAGCAGACACTACTCACCCCTCCCCAAACTCACAGCCTCTAGTTTCCCCTTGAGACGGAGACATGACCCAAGGAGCCCTTAACCTTCAGTCTTGGTGGTGGCAGTAGTAGGGTGCCACACACTTAGATGCCCACCACAATCAGGTGTCAGGCTATAACGTCTTATCGCCATCCACTTCCTCACAACCACCCTGAGGGCAACAGGTTTTATCTTTTCTTCGGCAATGGGTCATGGAGGCTCAACAAGGTCCTCTCTGAGAGAGGCACAAGGCAGACAGATCTGATTTCAAGGCCTGAATGTTCCTGGGGTCAGGGCCTGTCTCTGCAAGCTCTTGGAGGTAGCAAGAAAGAACAGCACTAGGGTTGAGACACCTGCAGGGTGTTTCCAAGTCCAGCAAGAAACATCTAATCATACCGCCCGGTCGCATATTTGGGACAAGAGTTCCTGCCACTGAGAAGGTGGACTGCATATGTGGGGACTGAGCTGAGCGAGGGGCAGAGCCGGCTCCCCGCAGAGGAAGTGATGGTGGAGGAAGCTGCTCCAGGGCCCAAAAGATGGCTCTGAAAACATAAAAGGGGGCGTCAAAAAGTCCACGGAAAATGGTATTAAAAGAGAAGTTAATTTTGGGGGTAGAGATTTTAAAATCCATTTGCTTTTTTTTTTATAACTTGCATTAATTTTTTGGAGACCCTTTCTCTCAGAACTTTCTGGAAGTACACACACATCTGCAGGCCCTGACCCCCACCCATCCCGGAAGGGAGTGTGTGGCAAAGTAAGGGATGGGTAGAAGCCCTAGCTTGGGCACAGGTTCTGGGAGCTCTGTGCCTGCTACCTTCTCGGGAGTCTAGTCCAGGCAGATACCTCCTCTACAAGCAATCACAGAAGCACCCCAGACACCACAGCTCTCCCCTCAGCAGCTTCCATCTGAAGACCCCTCCCTGAAGCTCCCCCCACCACCAAGACAACCCAAGGCACTCTTTCTTCCCCAGACCACTTTCCAGGCACCTTTGCACAGAGAGAGGTGGGCCAGGAGGACAGAAGTGTGCTCTGTCCATACGCCAACAAGCCTGTGTGCTCCAGCAGCGACTCTGTTCCAGGCGCTACGCCCCAGCCACTGCTGGGATTCCGAGGGAATATTCCCCACACTCCCTTGGAGATCCTATCGGGTCCCCGTGGGAAGAAACTGCAAAGGAGAAGTGATCACCAGGGCAAGATCCCCGAGCCAGGGAGTGGGGAGGCTGGGACATGAACCCAGCCCTGGCATGCCCAGTGCTTGGCTGCTCTCAGCGACCACATCATGTCTGTGGCCCACAAAGAACCAGGCTGGGCCAAAGTCACACTGAAGGGAGGCAAGTTGCTCCCCACGGGGCTTCTAAACCAGGCAAGCAGGGCAGAAGGGGGCTAGCAGAAGAGCCTAGCCACAAATTCCCCCACTTCTCACCCCTGTAGAAAGGACCCACGGGAATCCTGATGCTTGAACAAAGCAGTTTCTGAGTTTGTTTTTTTCCCTCCTGGGTTAAAGAGCTTGTGACTAGAACTGAGCCGCCTTCCAGCCCGCCTAGAAACTAAGGGGAAAAGCAACACTCAATGCAGGGTCAAGCACTCGCCCAAATACGGGAGGCACCAGGCCCAAAAATAAGGTTGGGGAGGGTGGTGGTGGTGAGTGAAGACAATGTTTCCCTAAGCCTGTCTTAATCCTCAATCTTATCACTCTGCAAAATGGGGCTACAAGAAAAAAAAGTCAAAACCAGGAGCCTAACACCCAGGAGGTGGTTAATAAATGATAAGATGCTTATTATCGCTGCTAGTGGGTGTGTGTGGGAGGGTGCAAATTCTGAGATCGCAGCCTCCCTGAAAAGTCCCTCTAGGATCCTGGTGGCCAGAGGTGGGGGGCAGGAGTGGAGCCGTGGCTGTGAAAGAAACTTGGAACAGCTCAGCCCCATTCCTAGGACGCAGCCCGATGCACCCCAGCCGCGGCCAGGGGTGCCCCAGGCAGTGGCCGCCTCCAGAGAGGGACGGGGCAACAACTATCCTGACCCCTTGGGATTACCCGGTTACAGGAAAGGGTTGGGGACGAGATCAACGCTCGCTGGCGGGGTCCATGCGTCCCCTTGTCCCTAGCGTTAGGAGACTGCCCGCCCGCGCCCCGCTAAGAGGAAGAGAATCCGCGGAAGGGGGGCGGGGAGAAGGAGTGGTCCGGCGGCTCAGGCCGGGATTTGCCTGGACTTGAAGACGCTCAATCTCCCCTCTTCTCCCTGCAAGAGTGCAAACCACCGGAGAGCACCAAGAAGGCTTCCCTCCCATTGGCCGCGAGTTCGAGCACCAGGGAGCTGCTTGCACAGCCCTGGGAGGGGACAGGTTGATGCAACCTCGGAGTCCGGTTGCGTCGCTGCACGCCCCCTCCCCGAGCCGCTTACCTGCCCGGTCCCCGGGCCACCACCGCCTCCGCCTCCCCGGGCGAAGGGCAGGTAGCCTTGGAGCTCAGCTCGGCACTCGGAGTCTGCGACGATCATGGTGTGCGCCAGCAGGACCGGGTCGCTGAAGGGAGTTGTGGACAGACGCCCGCAGGCGGCCGCCGGGGAGGCTCGAGAATTCCGCGATGCCTCTCGGGGTGGAGGGGGTTCCAGGTCGTTCCAGAGCCCCGAGCGCGGCCGGTGCTGCCGGCCGAAGGACTCTTGCCGACCCTGTCTGTCTTCTTGGGACAAGCGAGTTGGCCTCGTCAGCTCCGGAGTGTCAGCCGCGGAAGGGGCTCGTCAGGGCCCTGAGTACCTCGGCCGTCCGCAGTGGCCCGGGCTTCTCCCGGACCCAGCGCCGCTCAGCATCCCCGCGGCCGAACTGCCCAGCGCTCGTCCGGCTCTGACACCCACGGCGCCTAGCAGCCCGCTGCTGGCTCCGGGAGGAGGGCGGGGGGGGGGGAACGCAGAAGCCCCGGCGGCTCAGCCAATCGGATACCTGTTTCCCGGGGAGGCGGAGAGAACCCCGCCTCCTGGAGCCTAGCGCTCGGCCAATCGGCGCGCCGGCGGAGCGCGAGCGCTTTTGGGAGTTGTAGTCGGCCTGGGACGAATGCTGCAAACTTTTTGCAAGTGGCGTTTAGTCACGTCGCGGGGCGATGTCAGACGAGAGTGACTGCCAGGGGAGTCATAAGGACTGCGTGATGAAACGGGACTGCACCGGGGCTGGGCCAGAAATCCTTCTCCAGTGACTTCTCGGGCTTTTCGGTTCCTGGAGGGACTGGTTAGGGTTTAGGGAGAGATTTGGCCCCGCCTATCCAGGGTGCTAATGGCAGAGCTGAACACCGGATTTAGGGAGAACAGACGACACCACCCGGTTCCCCAGGCCTCGGGGAAGACTCCACCCCCACGTGTACCAGACCTGGGAATCTATTCGTCTGTGGAGGAAGCGCCGCGGTTCACCGAAGGGCCGCGGGCAACCTCCCGCCTAGTCTCGGCCTCTCTTGGCAGCATCTGCCCCACCTCTGGGCCCTGGGACCCGTGTCCTGTCTTTCTGCCCACTTGCCACCCTCCTGCGCCAAAGTTGGTAGTTAGGTGTTCTGTTGAGTCTGTTCTTACCTCACCCTCTGGCCACGCCTTTCTCCTCCCACTACCTAAAAAAAAAAAAAAAAAAAAAAAGTGCTCCCCGGTTTCTGTTTTTATCCCTTACCTCCCAGACACACTCTCTCTGATCTCATCCACTTCCTGGCCTTCAGCTCTCTTTTTTTGTAAGGAAGTTGGCACGTACCAGGACCTCAGGTCTCAAAGCCCAGTTCATCTTCCATTCACTGCCCACAGAGCCTCTTCCTCCAGATTGTTTTGTGTTGTTCCTCTTTTTTGTGTGTGTTTCAGGATTTATTATCATTCTTACTAATTTGTTTGACAGGTATGTGTGAAAGAGAGAGAACATTGGGGGAGGGGTGCAGATCTGCTGTTGCTAGGGTTGGGCCAGGCTGAAGAGCCCAGTGGCCGTAGGGGCCTAAGGACCTGAATCTGCTGCTGCTTTCCCAGGTGTGTTAGCAGGGCGCTGGATGGGAAGCAGAGCAGCTGGGGACTCAAACTGGCACTCCCACATGGGATGCTGGTGTCACAGCGGTGGCTTAGGCTGCTGTGCTTTGAAAGTCACTGTGTATTCTGGCCAGGAGATCCTGGGAGGAGGTGCTGGTCTGGGCTTCCAAGAGTGAGCCTCTCTGTCTTGGGCCTGCAAGTTCTTGGGAGAAGGGAATTCAACTCAGCTGCCCCCGAACTCCTGAGACACCTGAGCTGGGGTCCGCCCTAACACTGCCCACGCTGCACGGGACATGGCCATGTTGTGTGTGCTGCCTTATCTGATTGTAAGCCTCCTGAGGGCATGGTCCATAGCTTGGCATCTGCTTCCTTCCTATGCCACCTAGTACAATGTTCTGCTAATAATACGCCCTTCAGTCTTCAGTGAAAATCTCCCCGAGGCCACTCTCGTCAAATCCAGTTTTTGTCTAGACCAGAAAGTTGGGACGTTCAAGATCTGCCAAGACAGGACTCAATTGTATCATGTGCCACACCCATGTTTCTTGTTTAGCTTTAAAATCTTTAATTTCTGCCCACTGAAATGGTATCTAAGCCTTAGGGTTGTTTTTTTAAAAAGATTTTTATTTATTCAAAAGGCAAGCTGATGGAATGGGGGCGGTGGAGGTGAGAGATCTTCATCTGCTGCTTCACTCCTCAAATGACCAAACCGACCAGGGCTTGACCAGGCCAAGTGCGGAAGCCAGGAATTCCATCTTGAGCTCTCACTAGTGGTAGGGGCCCAAGCACTTGGGCTATCTTCTGTTGCTTTCCCAGGAAGTGGAGCAGCTGAGATTGTTAGCTGGTGCTCGGTTACAGGATTCCAGCTTTGCCAGAAGCAGCTTGAAACACTGTGCCACGGCAGCAGCCCTGATACCCTTTCGGATAAATGTGAATTATTCTGCTGTGTAAAACACCCCTGTAGAATCTTCAAGGAAATAATTGGCTCATTCCCAACTCTTTGTTTATAAAGTGGATGATTTTGTGAGAAAGAAAAATAAGAGAGGCCGTTATTCTATACCAGCGAGGAAGGAGAGCCAGGCAGGCAGAAGCCTAGACACCCCATCCCCCGACATTTAGGGCGCTCCAGCAGGCGCCCAGGGCCCAGCTGTTGCCTTGCTTCAGTCTCACCCCACCTTAGGAGGCAGGTATCAGGGAACCATTTAACAGGTGAGAAAACAGGCTTAAGAGGCATGTTGGTCAAGGCCAGACAGCTGAGTAACATGCTGAGCAAGAACTCAAAGCCAGGCAGTTCTGACTCTGAAGTGGAAAACTCCACCACTCTAGGGGTGACGAGAGCAACATGGATGTGCAAGAGGAACCAGGGGCTCACGGCAGGTGTGCAGATTGGGAGGGGGAAATGTAACCGTCCAGTGGCCTGGCACTTCCTGCCTTGTAGGTTCCTGTCTGGAGGTGGCCACAGCAGCTGGAGTTGCAGCTGAAGGAACCAGGCAGAGATGAATCACCGAATCGGCTCCGAGCAAGCTGTAGGTCCCAGCTGCAGTTTCTTTCCTTTCGCTCGGTAAATATTGACTGATCCTGTCCGGTGTGCCAGGCACTGTGCTGGGCTCCGGGAATCTACCCACACAGCTACCAGCCCGGTGGGCTGTGGAGGGGGTAGGGTGTAACCCCGGTTGGGTATACTCCTCCCCTCCCCAAGCCTTGATTTTTTTTTTTTTTTTTTTTTTTTTTGGTTCCATGAAGATCTCTTCCTCCTGTTGCCATATTCCCTCGACTCTTGCATCAGCTCTGTGGAGGCCACTGATTGGCCAAAGCTATTTTTATTCCTCAATCACATTCCAGTTCTGAAGATAGGTCTAGATTGGATTTGAAATATCTTTGATGTTTTTCTGACTTCAGGCTCTTCTTCCAGATTACGACCCTCAAAGGACTCTCCTCCGTTCTTCCTAAATTCATTTGCTAACTCCGTTTCTGGGATCGCTCCTCTCTGCACACACTATCACAGCCCTGCACTGCAATCACTCCAGAGGCTATGATATATCAGGTGTCATTGTCTGAGTTACTGTCTTCCTCCCACAGCCCCCACCTCTCAGATCACAATGCCTGTCCAGGAGAGGTTTCCAAGGCAAGATGTCCCCAAATTTCCCTCCTCCCATTGAAGTCAGAGCAGATCCACCCTGCACGGCCTAGTCACACGTTCATTCAGGCTTTCGTGTAAGTGCTGCGGCAGGCCTTCTCTGCTCCAGATGACTGGTTCTGAGCTGTCAGGCTACCCAACCAGAACTGAAATTATTCCCCACCCCAGAACGGTGTCTTGGGGAGCAGGACAACCACATATTGAGTCGTTATCTCCCAAGAGCAAGTCCCAAGAGGCGGCAACGCAGGTGCTTCTAGTTTTTGTTATTCTTCTCCCCTCCCCACGCCCACCCTTACTGAAGTTTGAGCTCTGTCCTTATCCCCACACGCACAGGAATCCACCCGAGCTCTAGCCCTATGCGGAGAATTGGCACTGCACAATTCGTGTGCTTTTCCCTGCATCCCGAGAACAAGAAAGCCTCAGGTTTGTAGTATCTCGTCCCTCCAGGTGCTTGGGGGCGATTTGCTTAGCGTTCCGGTTGAGCTGGCTGGGTCGGCTGAGCGCGCCCTCGGCGCCCCCTACTGGTCGGCACCTGCTACAGCTCAGCCAGCACGAGCTGGAGGCGAAGGGGCGGCTTGAAGGGCACCGCGAGCTGTTCCGGGGTTCACAGGGTTTTCAGGTTCCGTGACAGGGCCCACGAGGTCTAGAAAAGAGGCCAGGGGCCAGCTAAGTATTGCTCACACGGTTACTGAAAACTTTCCTGCTACTGACGGACTTTGACGGCCGGAGCGCACGTCCCTCCTAGCCTGCGGACCACAAACTCGGTTGGGCTGGCCTCACAACTCGAGACTGCCTGCCCCCACGGAGCCTCGCAATCCTTCCCCACTCCGACTCCTCCGTTCCTAGAGGCTCCGCGCATCCTGTTCTTCGAGAGTCGCCCTGGGACCTGGCCCCAGGACAACAGCCCTGGCTCGTGCCATTCTCAGGAGACCAGCCTGGCCTGGACTCAGAGGTTCCAGTTCTAGCCCCGGGGAGCTGTGTCCTCCGGCCGGTCACGTCACCTCCGTGGGCCTCAGCTGCCCATGGCGGACAGTCGGTAACAGGGTACGGCTGCCCGGACGGCCGTGGGAGGCCTGACAGAGACTAAGAGGCCGCGGCCGAGACGCGGTCCGCATCGTTTATAACGTCACCGTCTGTCAAGCGTCTCCGTGACAGGCAGTGAGCGGTATTATGGGTATTCTGAGGGAGAAGTTTGGGGCGCAGGGCCTGCGAGTCTCCGCAAGCGGCGACGAGCCTTGTTTATCCGACCTGAGGAAGCGCAGCCCAACCGCAGCGCTCACTTTCTGCTCAGCAACAGGCGCCTCTGACGCAAGCCGCGGCGGCCAATGAAGTGGGAGGTGCGGAGGCGGGAGGTGGGGCGGGGCTTGCTGTCAGCCAATGGCAGCCCTCAGCTGCGCGAGCCCCGGCGCGTTTCCAGGCAGGTTACGGACGCCGACGCGCCGGGCGCGGGTGGCGGGGCTCGAACTCGCTTCAAAGGTGGAGAGCTCTGTGGACGAAGCTGTGATTGGTGAGGTTCCTGGAACGCCCGGTGTCTGGTCCGGCATTCCCCGGCCTCGGCGGAAAGGAATCAGAACTTCCCTGTTTGCTAGTCAATTTTTTTTCACCTTTTAAGTAAATGTTTGATATTTAGTTTTGCTTTCTTTTCCAAATGTAAGTAATGGCATAGAATTTGGGAAAACAGGAAATTGA